CCCCCTCCCCGGCGCGGGGTCCCGCTGCGGGCGGCGGCCGCGTCTCCGGGGGCGCCCCGCGCAACCCCCTGCGCTCCCCCCGCACTCACACCACCAGGCGGGAGATGATCCAGGAGACCATGGCGGCGCCGGGCGGCGGCTCCCGGGGCTGGCGGCGGCGACGGTTCGTCCAGGGCGGGTCCCTGCAGCAGGCGCAGCCCCGCCCGGGCGCCGGGAGGGAGGAGCCGCCGCGGCGGAGGCCGGGGCGGGGGAAAGGCGCGCCCCGCCCCGCGCAGCCCCCGCCGGGTCCCGGGGGAGCAGCGGGAGCTGGAGCGGTGCGACCCGGTGGGGGGCGAGGGGGGGGCGGCAGGAGCTGCCGGAAAGATGGCAGAGGAGCACCCTGCGCTGCGGTGGGAGGGAAAGGGCGGCCCGACGGGCGGGCGGCAGAGCGGGCAGGAGCCACCGGCCCCGGAGAGGCCAAGGCAACAGCGGTTGAACGCTGCAAACAATCAGATTCCGTTCAGCAACGTCTCCGAGTCCCTCCGAGCCCCAGTTCCACCCCAAACCGTGTGTAAAACAGACGGGAAGCGCTGACACAACGCGGGGTTTCACACCAAAGGGAGGAGGTTGTGACTGTCGTTTCCAGTATAATCCAGTTGTTGCCCAGTGCTCTTACGCTTAGAAACTTCACCTGAGAGGCCAAGGAACGATCAGCTCCGCGGGCAGGGCCGAGCGGGGGGAAGCGCCCCCGCCGCAGGTGGGACGGCGGACGCTGAGGCACCAGGTGCCGCCGGGCCGGGAGCGCTGCGCGGAGATTGCTCCTCCCCAGCCGGGCCCCTTTGGCCTCCCCCGTCGGTCGGGGAGCGATCACGGCCTGTACACAGATTTCCGAGTCCCAGTAAGATGACCGTTACATAAACCGGTTTTTAATTTGCCACAACTATTGTGGTTCTTCCGCTAACAAAAAAAAACCCCAGCCCTGGAGGAAGGCACTGTGGCAGTCTCATTACTTGCCAAATAGCCTTTATGAAAAGGAAAGAGGCCAAAGAAAGAGTCAGAGCAAAAACAAAGAGCTGCGTAGGAAAGAATTTCCTCATGAATGCATGAACTGTAGTATAATGAGCAATGATGAAAAATACAGAACATTAGCAACTTTCAATTACATGTAAGAGTTGAAAACACAAATGTCTCTACAGACAGCGACAAAGAGTATTTTGTCATAGTCTGCTTTTGGATATGAATGGCTGCAAAATGATTGCATAAGGGACTGCACAATTTACACCACTGATGGCATAACTGACCTACAAATAGGAAAAAAGGAATCTGCTCTCACACATCCAAGTAATGCTAACACACACACCCTTCACCAAAATAATTCTATTTCTAACTGCACCAGTTTCCTATCAGAGACCCACATGGCAACAGCTCTGGTACTTGAACTATGTGTTCATACTCCGGTGAGTGAAAGATGCAAATAGAAGAGAAAAAAATTCAGAGACCTGGTTGAGTACAAAGAGTGTGGGAATGCTAAATGGGTGAGTGCACCTAAATAAAATGTGCTTTAGTGTTTTAAGCTGTTTAATGTGCCAAGGATCAGTATGAAGATTTACAGTGCATTAGAAATAAATGGTATAAGAAAAAACCCAATATGAGTGTCAAAATCAGTTGAGCGGGTGGTTCTTGTGAACAGCTTAAGTGGCAGCTCATTGTTAAGTGACATGTTGAGCTTTAGAGCAACTCCAGGAAGGGTATTTTAAGCTAGCAATTTACAACTAGCAGTAAGTAGCTCAATTTCTTGCCATATCATAAAGCGGAATGAGAAATTAATTCATTAACTTACCTTCCCACAAGGACAAACTACCAGTATTGGAGGGCTATTTTTGGAAGAAAAGCCAGCTACAGGTCAAACTAAAATAGAATGATTTATTAGTAGCATTCTTTATATTAAGTTATTAGTAATTTGTATAGTGCTGTGTAATTAAGATTCTAAGACCTACCCAGGAAAGCAATTCAATTGTTTTCAAATTAAGGCTGTATATTTTTCTAGCAAATATACTACTACTTAAATAACTCATGACAAATTTGTGTTCTACAAATGGTTATAAGTAGGTGACCAAATATCTATCGATCTATTATGTCCTAAAAAATAAGGCATGGAAATCAAACTAACTGTTCCTTGAGTAGAGCAACTTAAGCAAAGCTACATTTAGAACAACACCAGGTCAGATCCAGAGATCACTCTGATCTCCCCCTGAAGCTGAGGTTCAGGCAGAAGCTGCTGTAATGAAAAGGAATGGCAATTAGTGAGGGCTCAGGAACACAGGAGTGCCTCTGGAAAAGGTTAGCAGAATAGATAAGGGTCTTAGGAAGAAAGGTGAAGTGGAAGAATGCAATGGGAACCCTCTCTCTGACGCTTAAAGGTGCAGATTGTCATGGAAGGGTATAAAAAGCAGAAATGGGTAAGGCAAACACAGAAAAAGTGTGAGCCGACAGTATAAACTGACAATGTGGGAGGTAAGGCCCTAGAATTGGAAATTATTCTGAGAATATTTTCCTTCTTTACCTGTTTTGCTTTGTGATTGAAAGCTGTTTAGTTAGAAGAGACCTTCCTAGGGGAAGAAGCTGTATTTTGTTATATCTAGCTCTTGAAACTCACTTTTCCAATTTTCATATCAGCCTATGTAAAGGCAGGGAGAGAAAAAAAAAAGCTCTAGTAAGGTACGGGGATCAAGGAGGTAAGAGAGAAAAGTGAGTTCTGCCTAGTGGGAGCATGCAGCTCTTTTTCAATGGTTGAGAATAGGGATCTTAAAGACACTGAGAATTAAGACAAAAGGAAGCTGTGGGCTGATGTCACATTCTGAGATGCATTGGGAGAGAGTGACCACGAGCATCTGGGATAGAGAGGGGAAAAGTATGGGAAAACACTGAAGCTGACAATCAGAAGATGAGATTACTTACCGGTAGCTGGAGCCTGTGAGATGCACTCTGCACAGGCATGTCACTCACTCGCTGTGTCACGTCGCCCTCCTTTTCCACCAAAGCCACACTTAACAAGTTACGCTCAATGCACCAGTAAGTAACAGGCACATGTCATGGCTCAGCCAAAACCTCAGACCTGCAGAAGCTCAGAGTGCTGTCAAAGGGCTGTCAGAAGTAGGGAAACAGAAGGAGCTCATATGTACATAGGAGCAATAATTTAAAAGAATATCCATGCCTGGTAACTTGTTTCAACTTATTTGTATTGCAGGCAAATTCAAGTTACTGCTTGACATCTAACTCCTCTGCTCCAGTTCACATCCTTGGGTGCTACAAGAGGCTGCCTCAATCTTTCATAGGAACAACAAATGGATCACAATCTTTGACATATTAAGTACTTAATTTTCCCCATATTTATGTTGCCTCAGAGTACAGTTTATAAAGAGAGAAAATATTTAAGTGTTGTAAAATTAACCCTTGCAGACTGTAACATCTTAAAACAATATAAAAAAAAAGGAAGGAGTAGTTGGGTTGAAAAGAAGTTAAACCTTCTGAGTGGGAACATTATTTCTTCCTCTTCATCTGAGACTGAGAGAAAAATATGTATGTGTCCTGTGTAACGTTTGAAGGCTTCTGTGAAACTGCTGAGTCTGCCCTTGCATGGCTGAGTGCTCACCAAACTCTGGTATTGTGAACAAAATCCAAATCCACTCAGGCAGGCCAACAGTCATACAATCCTGAATTCCTGCTTCCGCTCGTCTGTAGTTCCACAGGACGTTGACTAAAACCAGGCAGAGCTTAAAGTCAATATTCGAAAATGGCGCCCACCCACCCACTGTCTTGTGCAGCTCCATCCAGTCCTGGCCAGACAGCATTCAGTAGAACAAACATCACAACTGCAGCCAATTGAATTTTAAGACATGCAATAGAAGTTTTTATTTTCCCTCAAAAATTTTTGATTTATAATGTCTTCTTGGATCTGCTTATGTTCCAGGTAACATATCAGCTGCCCCTTAATGTTTGTCACTAGAAAACACTGTTAAAAGAACCACTGATTGTACATCTTAAAAATATTTTATCAACACTTTGGCTGGCTACTCCTGCTATAAGCTCCACACGAAATATGACAACCAGTGGTATGTACAGAGGGTGAGTGCGGATCCTGCTCACAAACCCCATTAAGAGGATCCCAAGGTGCGCCCCTGTGCGAGCACCTTCACCAGACACCTGTGAACATGCGTGTGATGGGCCCTGAAAGGCTGCCAGTGCTCAGGAAAGACAGTGCAGTCATCCCTACTGGATTACTAAGGGGATTAGCATTAGCAAGAAATGCAGCAACAGAAATGTTTCAGAAATGAGTAATTATCTTACCACAGAAATGCATGAACAAACTTTAAAAACCTGCACGTAGCTTGAATCAAAAATCCCTCAAAAATGGGGTCACCGAACAAAAAGGAAGCACAAGAAAGTCACCAAGAACAATCCGAGGCACTGAGCAGGCTCTGTGCGAAAATTCCACTGTCCAAAACTGTTCATCTTGGATGACAAATGCCTCGGGGAAGTGAAATGGCACATAAAAGAACTACAAAATTATGACAATGGTCAAAGGGGTGAACAGAGGACAAACACTTCTTGGGAAAAAAGGCTCTGGAGCCCAGTTAAATTACTAAGCTAAGGAAGGTACATAGTTTCAAACAAAGCAGAATTAAATCTCGCAACTCTGTCAAAGGATGTAGTAGAAGCTGTAAATACAGTTGCTGCGAGCAGGAACACGATAGACTGTAAAGCTCATTGCAGGCCTAAGTACAAGTACCATAAAATATCCCTGGGCCTGTAAGGCTAGAGCAGAGGGAAGTTCAGCACGTTTGAAAGAAAACAAACCCCTGCAGTAGTCTGGGTTTTAGATATATATACGTATATAAAGTGTACTATATATCTAATGTATGATATATGCATCCATAAATGTTATATATGATCTATAATATGTATTTATATATCTGATTAGTATTAATAAATAAAAACTTATGTGTTTGCAGATACACAATACATGAAAATTCTATTTCAGAAATTCTGAAGTTGCTGTACAGCAACACCTAAATTTTAATTAGCTGAACAGAATCCTAAGAGCTGGAAATTACAGCTTTTAATCAACTGAAGACCTTTTCTTGATGGAAAACAAGCCACAATTGGCAAGTGGATTCTGAATCTACACAAATGCAAATTTG